AGGATCTGATAGACTCCCAGCATTATGATGCAGCATACATCTTTAGGACGCTGCGACTTGCCAGAGCATTCCATTTCACAGCAATGCCAAAACTAGTGAGTTATTACATGAATGACTTTACTATTTTTAATAAAATATCTTCAGCTTTCAGTGGTTGACAGTTCAACAGCGCTCGTGTTTAGTTTGGCTTTGATGCCGTGTTGAAATGTAGTATGTCTTGCTTTATGTAGCTAGGTATGTGACGTAAAGCTTGGAGGATGTTTGAATGTAGCATGTTTCTCACCTGAAAATATTTTTTTCAGTATCTAATGTCCTTATTAGATTCGAGATGTCTTATCATTTGTGGAAATGTCAAAACTCTTGAGTCTGGATGCTGGATTAAATTCTTGATTAGGGAATAATTTTTGAAACGTGCTGACTGAGCGCTTGACAGTAAAGCTGCGTGCTGTTGTTGATGAGGTGGTTTTATGCCTTTCAGCATCTCTTGGTGGTTGGATATGCAGTAAGAATTTTCAAGAGGAAGTGCCATTTTAAGTTTGCTGTTTCGGTTACAAAGCTTTGTCTCTTGCTTTAGCTAAACTACAGAACTAAGAAGAAGATTCAGGAAAACGAATTTAAAGAGGAATTTAAGGACCCAACTAACAGAGTAAACAGCCTCATCACTAATGACGTATTGGAGGTACAGGAACTTTTAAACTACAGATTAATCACTGGGGGTTCTCTTTGTTTTGTTTTGTTTTTCTTCTTCTGTTGTCCAAGAGCTGTAACTTCTCTAATTAGCACAGTCTTGTCCTTTGTAAGTCTTCTTGTGGAAGGCAAACTAGGGTAATAGTCTGTGCCAGCAATTTTATTGAACGCTCAGAAACACAGCATTTATTTTGGAAGAATTGTGGTACCTTTTTCAATACTGAAATGTGCTCTAATGTTTTGTGGTTTTGCCTCAGTAAGGTGTAAAAGGGGAAGGGTATAAATGGTCAGCTGTCACTTAGGCAGAGAAGAATGGAAAATGGCGGGTGGGGGGAAGCATGTTTGTTTTGATACGTCTGCAGGTTGCAGCTGGAGGCTTGATAGTTGCAGTAATATAAATTTGCTCATCTGCAAGTTTGTAGTCTTCTCTAGCCTTTATTTCTCCTTTTAAAACTTGGTTTTGTTTAATATATAATACAGTTTATAAAAAATGGCGTAGTTCAAGCCAAGTGTAGGTTCTTATATTGCTCATTATGACTCAGTAGTAGATCTTTGTTTACAGGTTTTTCCAGTTGCTACTAGCAAATACGTGTCATCAGTAAGGCTGACTGCCGTGGTACAAAAATCAGTGATCTGTGAACAGGCAGGGTGAGAAGACCTTCCTCAAAGGGAGGAATTAAAATTCTTCTTCCAAAGAGATGAAAATAGACGACCAGATCAGAATGAAACCTCTATGAACACTGATCCTGAGTATCACTGAGACTTCCTTCTTAGTTTAATGAAAGATACTCTTTCTTCTTTTCCTTATTTGATGGCCTGGTGGGACAGTGCTAGGTAGCAGCATTGCTAGACTCCCTAAAACTGCACCGATACAAACAGAATCCCATTCTAATACTCCTGTTAGTTCAATGGTCTCCTTAGAATGGTTTGTATAACCCTGGTTTTGTTCATTGAGGACTAATATTGCTTTACTGCTGGAATCTTTTTTTTCCTGAGAAAGAGTCTCTCTTTTATTTTAGGAACTGATGAATATTCATGACCACTATCAGAAAATGAAGTGTGTCATTTCAGCTGACAAATCTCAGCCAGACAAGGCCCTGAGCTTGATAAAAGATGAATTTGTAGTTACTCTTAAAGACATAACCTTGGAACATCAGGAATGGCAGCAGAACAGAATGGTAGGTAATATCAACCATTGTGATGTGGCAACTTAACAGATTGTATGAATATGTGAAAAACTACTGTCTTAGTGTAATTACCTCTGTGCATACTTCGTAAAGCTCAGACTTAAGTTGAAGGAACTGTAACACTGAAGACATGGAATGAGTAAAACCCTAGGCAGAGTCATGGTATGGGGAGAAGGACATGGACTTGTATGTGGTGCTGCCTCTATGATACCATAAATAATTGCTGAGAGGTAGGCCCTGGAGGATGTGACCTATGGGCAGTATTAGAATGACCATATGAAATACCTCTGTAACGCTTATTCTTGGATCAAGGAAAGGCCATAGTGTAAAATCAGTGAAGAAAATGGGCATATTCTTGTTTTGTTTTTCACAATTCTTGGATTTTAGCTGCCTTGTATATGACAGATGTTTTAAAAAATTATTTTGGTTTTTTGTTGTTTTTTTCCCCAGAAATTATTCCTAAATGCTAAAGAAACTGATGAAATACCAAACGAAAAGGAAGAAGGGACTTTTGTAGAATCAGAGGTAAGAAAAATGAACGAGTTTGCTATGTTGCACAGGCCAAATCCATTAGTTTCTTGACTTCAGATCACAGGCTAAGCAGTGTATGTCAAGGCCTAATAGTGTCAAAGTAAGTTCCAGGAATAGCTAGTGGGGCTGACTGGGTTGGGTTTTTTGTTTGGTTTGGTTTTCTTTTTAAATCGCATTGTTTTCTGTTAAGCTGTGAGCATTCGCTGCTGTGATAGCTCTTGGATGCTCGTCATAAAAAGTCTGTTTCAGGTAAGGAGGGGAAAGAGCTGTATCTTCTTGGCCAAACTCCTTTATGGTTCCCTTTAGAGTTTCAACTAAATGCAATATCCATTTTTTGTGCTACAAAATTATCTCACGTTGTACTTACCTGCTTATTTCAACTTTGAATTTGAGTAAAATGTGAAGTTTCAGCTTTGATTTTCTCCTCCTGGGCTTTGTAATAGTGAAGGCAACCAAAATTATGGTCTGCCTTTTTAATGAAATTTGAAGGTTTTTTTTCTTTAAGTAACAGTTTGGCGTCATTTCAATTATATAGAACTAATTATAATTATAGAACTACAGCTGTAGTGAGAAACTGTTCAAGTGATTGTCCAATGCGATTTTTCATTTCAATACTGCTGTAGTAGAATATGAAAACTTTTTCTGACTGATCTCTATGTTTCTTTGCAGGGTTCTGAAAGAGCAAATGCATTGGCTAGAATCAAATACAAGTCTTACTCTGCAGTTGTTGAGGTAGGTATAAAATTTGATCATAGGGATGTATTTATTTTTAAAGAACAGTTTTTAGTACCAGTTTAATGTAAATGCGGGGTCAGAAAGGAATGAGTTAAAATTGCGCTCTGTAGTTCAACCTTTGAGTGTTCTGGTTTGCATAACACATTGGGGTAACTCGAAGCTCTTATTATTCTTGTTAGATTTATGCAAACAGTGCAGATATGGTCTATGCTTGGGAGATTTTAATTTACAAGGTATCTTTTAAGGTCTACGCTCTGTTTAAGCAGATGGAATTTTAAGTAGATGGAGTAAAAATACTTGCAAGTTTAATTGCTCAAATTCCTTGAAGCTTAGATATTGGAATCTCTGAAGATGCTTGCAAAAATGGAATTTGGGTGTTTAAAGTCAGTTGCAAGTTTTTGGAAACATTGTTTCAATAACTGCTACTTTTAAAATATTGTTGATATGCCTTTTTTATAGTAGGCCTATGAGAAACATCACAACTTTCCTTGTCTATTAAAATCTCTTATTGAAAAATGTGTTATTAAATGAAACGGAGCTCTGGAATGTACAACAGTCCAGACTTGTGAATATGCAGTGATGCTGTTTTCTAGGCACCTAAGCAAAACATGACAGTAAGGAGGCTTTACGGTGCAGCAGTTTTTGGAAGTGTTCCTTTTGCTCGCATGCAGCAGTGTAGGTTGATGCCAACAGAGAATGGTTTGAAAATAAATTAATGTTTCATTACCTGAATTTTAAGTGATACACCCGTTAAATCATGGAAGGGCGTTGTCCTGTTAAAACTGAAGAACAGTAACTAGTAGGAATCCTCCCTCCCCTCCCTTCTCCACCCTGATGTGGAAGTTGATGCTTTGGTCCTTGCTGACTTGTAAAGTACTGGGTGACACACACTAATATTTGGCTGTAGAAGTTTAGCTTTTTTGTATCATTCGTATGTCTGTTTGGGTTCTAGGCTTCCAAATCCAGACGACATCGTCAAGTAAAATTAGAATCTTCTGAATCAGGATCGAATTACGAGAAATCTCCAAACCAAAGTAAAAAAAACAGTAGGAGACCACAGCCAGGAAGGAGGAAAGATTCTTTGGAAACCAGAGGTATTTGTCCATTGCATTCGTGAACCTGGAGAGACTGCAAAAGTTTATCCGTTGCTTTGCTAGATGAGGCAGCTGGGTTAAATTTTACTGTTGTTCAGTGGAGGTAGAAGATTAAAGAAATGTTTTGTGATACCCCTATTGTAATTGAACCTTTCTGTCTGATTCCCACACTCTGGTCAGGTAGCAAGACAACACGAGCGCATGCAGTTTATTGTTAATCTGAAGTCTCGTATATAGTCTTGCTACTTTTTCTTTGGAATGGCATGACCTTGGAAAAGTATGTCCTGTGTGGCAGTGTCTTAATTTTTCCTATTGCCTTATAACAAACATACTAGAGATTGATATGTGTCTGTTTCTTCTTCTGACAGATAGCTTCTACTTTTGAAGCTATCTTTTTGATGAAAATCAGCCTATCTGATAATTTTGGTAGTTCATACTATCTTCATGAAATCCAAAGTAAACCTTGCCTATTCCTGTTCTGTTCCTGAGCATTTGAAGGAATATCCTTTAATATTTCTGAAGAGAAAATGATGTCTTAACAATGATGATTGCTTTGTACGACTAGTACCTGCACTATCATATCAGTCATTCTCCTTCCATCTGATACTCATTTTTTATTTTGTTCTTTTGTTACTGAAATTTTTAGTACTTCCATGTGAATTCAAATCTTTTGTCAACAACTGATGTAGTTTCAAAACTCTTACCAAATTGTTTCCTTAATCTCAATATTGCAATTATTACATTATAACAGTTCTAGGTTTGTTTAGTTTATAGCTAGACTTAACTTTTCTCTTCTTGACAGGAGGGTTTTTTATATACCTGTGACTTGCTTTTTGTAGTTCTGTTCCATAATTCTATTTTATTTCTCCTGAGCATTATAATTTTGGTAACAATAAAAACAATTTTAAGGAGCAAACTTTTTTAAAACAGGTACAGAGTACTTATGTCCAGTCTTTGGGACCTTTTGTCGTACTTTGAAATGCACCCTGGAAGGGAATACTTTTAACTGCTTGTACTTGATATCATTCTGGTTTATCTATACTGATATAAGAAGCACTGGGATGTCTCTATGTGCTCAGTGAAGGCCCTTGCTTAATGTAGTCAGAAAAAGACTTCAAACTTTTAACAAGAAATATTACGGAATAATAAATCTTCCCTTGAATGCTGTGGAGAGGATAGAATTTTGTGGGTGACAAGAATGGCTGCCTGCAGAGCGAAAATGCCTATGGAGAGAATAAGTACAAACAGAATGTAACGCAGTAAGAGAGGATATGCTGAACGTTTTTAAAAGTAAGAAAATTGGACTGGGAACCCCTTTTTGCCTCAGACCAGATTTTTTTTTTTTTTTTTTTTTTTTTCAAAAAAATAGACTTACCTGATCCAAAGCTGCTAAGTTAATCTTTTTCATTTCTTTTATTTGTGAAGTTTGTTGAAAGTATGATGCTGAGACCAAGAACTTAAGGGATTAGCCATTTATATGGATTCTTGTTGTATGGTGTCATCATGTATGTTAATATATTCTGAAAGAGATCAAGTCTCAGAACTTGAGGACTGACTCATTTTGATGTGAGATAAGTGTAAGACCTGGTGTGATGGTACGTTGTTAGATCAAAAGAGGAGGTGAGGAAGGAGAGGGAGATCAGCTGTCTATTTCAGGTCTCTGTTGGAGAGATCCTATCTGGTGTTGCTGATCTTCGGCATATCTGAACTGACCAGTGATTGATTTAGTCAGCTGTTGTACTATCATAGCATTCACGTCATCTGGATTGATGCAGTTTTACTTTCTAGGTATTTGCACATGCCTGCTTGTGCATCTTTTTTTTTTTTTTTTTGTCTTCCAAGACTTCCTTCAGATCTCTTTGTCTCCCAGTTCTGAAAACATGGGAAATTACTTCTCTGAAGGAAATTGTCTTTCTGATATCCAACTTTTAAACTGATAGAAGTTGCGCTGCCATTTAAGTTTTTCATTTGCTTATTTATTAAAGGTTAAATGAAACTGAACAGCAAAATAGTTTTGAATGAACTTTATTTTGAAGACAGGGATTTCATTTCAAAGTTCCAAACTCTGTTTTCTGACTTATTTAGCTTCTGCTAGGAAAAAAGTTGCTGAGAAAAGTCCACCTTCTTCAGAGGTGGCCATTAGGCAATGTTGCCTTTGCTTCACCTTAAAACAGTAGATGAAGTGTTGGAGAGGAATAAGGGCATTTGGAATTTTCTCTGGACTGAGTTGGTGATCAGTATGCTTTAAACTTGTAGTGTTAATTACTTGTTATTGAAGGTTTCTTTAGTGAGCCATATGAAGGTACTGTGAAACGCAGATGTTTCTCCACAGCCTTTGACTAGAAAGTCAAGAGAGCAGCAAGTGAACGATCTTTTAACTGCTGGACCTGAGATGCAGAAGCAAAAAAAAAAAAAAAAGCTAACAGTTTTTCCTAACAAAATCTCTCTGCAGGTGAAACGCAAGTGACAAAGGAAACTGTTACTCAGCATATTGGGATGCCTATAATCACAGAAGAAGATAACTCAGATGAAGAAGGTACAGTGATTGAAATTCTAACAAACCGGTGACTTGTTTTTCTGCTGTGCTGTATTTTTCTGAAACTAAAGCTGATAATTTTGGACCATGTGTTGCTGCCTTGCAAAAGCTAGGTCAGTTTTTAGCCTGTAAATTGTTGCATGAAAATTGAAGCTTTGCTCTGAGACTTTGTTACGAGCACATATGTGGTGGCAAAATCCTGTGAGTCATGTTTTTTCTAGATAGATTTCATTATAGTGTTCAGAGTTAAAATTGGTCCAGTTTAAAGGAGACTTACTTTTCTGTAATACAAATCTGGCTTGAAGCGCTCCAGTGTATAGGGAAAAGTGATTTTTTCGGTCTTTCTCCCACTTACTAGTAGCTCTGGGAACTTAGGTAACGTGTGCTCGAGGTCAGAATAGCCCTTGCTGCCTTCACCTTTGTGGAAGTGAGGGGACATAGAAGTTTCCCCTATAGCCTTACTTTCAGCTGGGCAATGCTTCAAGGATTAAGTTCCAGTATATATGTACAGTAATAGTGTCCTCTGCTATATTAGAAGTTGTCTGACATAGTTGGGCTAGGATTCTGGGAACTGCAGCAGAAGAGTGGATGACTTTGCTATCGCTCACGTTACTGGAAATAATGTAATTTTTATTTGGAACCAATGGTAAAGGAGGTTTCTTAAAGCTGGTGGTGGAGTTACTCTATGGAAGCATCAAATGCATAGAGTACAAATTGAGATGTTAGATGATCTTGAACTGGTCTGCAACTCAGAAGCTTCAGGGTCTGTTCTCGGTATTGCTTGTGGAGAATACAAGCACCATGGAACAGACACTCTACAAAGAAAATTACATCCTCTTTATCTTGAGGTACTGCTTTGCCGCCATGTCTCAAACGTGGGTAGCGTTCCTGGGAGAGGAGCTGGCCAGCTAAAGGCATGATTTCCACTGGCAGTTCTAGCTCGTCTAAAACTGATGGGTCTTGCTTACGTAGTGGAAGGCAGACTTGATAGACCAGAGGTACTGGTTCTTAAACTGAAAGAGTAGGATTTAATTAGGTTGCTTAGAGGGGCAGCAAAGGGTTAAGTACAACTTCTGGAAAGCTTTAATGTCATAGATGAGTGTGAGGAGTATATCTTTCGGAGTTAATTTACTATCCAAAATTGTATGTAATAGAAGGGTATTTCATACAAGGGAGCGCAATACCTATTAAAATACATTTGTAGTGAGGTAGCACATTTATATTTGCTCTTTTTAAAAGCAAACAAGCATCTTGTAGTACTGAAATGAGATTGCATTCTCCAGTCACCTTAGTTGTAGACAATGTGAATTCATTCAATTTTAAATGGTCAGACCGAAGGCACAATGGTGCATTTAATATTGTACTTTATTTACTTACTTTTCCTTCAAATTATTGTGGACAAAAAGTTTCTTTCTCAATCAGGAACATTCGCCATTTCTCAGAATTTGCCAGCAAATTCTGAAGCGTTAAAAATATCCATAAGCAATCTCTTCAGGTATTTTGAGCTTGATTTTGTGAGTGTTCCGTTTGTCAAATTCACAATGAAATCTTAAAGGTGTTCATGAGGAGCAGAAAGCTCTCAAGATTGAGTAAGTGTTGAAGCACAGTATTTTGTTCATCAATGGAATTTTAATTGATATTTTGAATGATAGTGTGCTGTAGAATCTAGAAAGATTTTTTTCATATTTAAAACCATGGGGAGAGGGATTGGGAGGGGATCTCAAGAGCTCATCTAATTCATTTCCTTTGCTGGGCAGAATTAATTCTACTTTAATCATTCCCATGAGGGAGGATAGATTGAAAAGCTTGTCAGAAAAATCTCTATTTCCTTTCAGAAGTATCTCTCCCCAAGAGGAAAAGAAGATGTTAGAGGATCCAGTTGGAGAGGCACTAATGTTAATTTTAATGACAAAATGTAAAATGTCAGAGGTAACACGAAGTGCTTGTTTTGGATGCCTTTGAACATACAACAAGAAGTGTCTGGGACCAGAACTACAGGTGACACTGGAATACTGGTAGTGACTGGTATACCTTAGCTGTCTCACGGTACAGCACCTGGGCCTTTATTCACCTGGTGAATGCTTCTTGTGGGAGACAAAGTTGCTGTGCCCTGTTTGAGATGGGAAGAGAAGATGGTTGCTTGTTGTATTTAGTTTGTACAGTGTGAGTTATCGCTTGGAACTCATGTTGATCTGCAACAATGTTTTTAGCTGAGACTGTTAAAAGAACAGCTCACAAAACATTTGCCTGTTTGAGATGTTTGGAATCATTTATCTCTGAACATAGAATTAAGGTTACTGACTGTTTAAAATTAGTATAATAAATTATTTTTCACAGTTTGCTTGCTCTGTTTTCTGGTGTGCAATTTCAGCAATGTTTATCATGGTTTGATCCCACAGATGCGGGAAATGAACTTGGTGCTAAGCCTTTTATTGTAGTCTGTCTCCAGCAGATCTGGTATCATTGGCTATTTGAATGAAGAAATAAAATGTTCGTTTATTAATTCTGCAGATGACCTGAAGCTGTACAAGGACAGGAATAGAATTCAAAATGACCGTTATGAATTGGAGAGGTGATGTGGAAGAAGTGGGTGTGGAAATAAACGTGAAGCTCAGTACTGAGAACAGGTACAGAATGGGGAAATGATTGCTAGGCAACAGTACTGCAGAAAAAGCAAACAGACTGAGAATCTTAAGCCTGAGTATTTTCTGTAAACAATAACAAGCACTAGAGTTGGTGTCATCATTCAGCCCTGTAAGGCTATGGCCTTAAATGCCCCCTTTTGACCACGACAATTCAAGAAGAATGTGGATAGTTACTCTCCTTGGTATTTTCTCCAGCTGATCATAGCTGTACTATCAAGAAAGGCCAAAGGAGTTGAGATGTCCTCTCCTACAAGAAGAAATACAAAATAGAAATTTGAAAGATTGTGAATACAAAAGGGGCCTAAACTGAGTGAAGTAGTTTGGTAGTATGACTCTCCAAGGCCAAAGGAATTGAAGTGCCCTTACTTAGAAGGCGAAACACTTAAGTGGAAATATAAATGATTTTAATATAAAATGGGCCTGTATTAAATGCATTCATTGGTAAGAAGGAAGGGGCCTGAATGACAAACAGGTCGGACACTGGAAAAACTAATAAGCACCGGTGTTGCACTCAAAACCTTGTTAATGGGAAAAGAGAAACACTATAATAAAGCCAAAACCGTACTGTGTAGTAAACCGACCAATTGAATAGTCTGTTGCCAGCATAAACTCATTCTGCCTCTATGCATTTCTGCTCCTAATTTTTGATAAGCAGATACAAGAGACAAAGAGACCTCTTAAGGTCTCTTAAGTTTAACCAGACTTTTTTGGTCAAAGTTGTCTGCTCATCTTAATGCAGTTAAGATCCTGTTGGTAGTACTGCATTTGTCAGTTTTGTCAATTCCAGCTGCTGCTTTGGGCGTAGGCGTGCAGGCTGATGGAGAAGCTTTCTGGTATCCTCACATGCAGGGGATGGATAGCAGTATAGGTGTAATAGGGTAGGAATTTGTAGATGAGGTACATTGAGTACTCGAATCTCTTCTTGGGGAAACCCCTGGATGGCTAAGAAAGATATACATGGAGAGGGAGAGTTCTTCCTAGCAGATACTGGGAGTACAGCTTCAAATTCATCATTTCTTATGAGTTTCTTCACTTAGGAAGTTGCTTAAGGATGAACTTTGCTCTGCTGCTGTTTCTAGGCACCGAGGTTAAGCCAGGTCTTCCAGGTATGTGGCATTGGGTTCTTCTCTTGAAGGGAAACTTGAAAGAGATTTCTCTTTTTTTGTTTCCCTCTGGCTTGCAGGTATCTTTCTCAAGGAAGCTAAAGATCAAACACAGCTACAAAAGCTTATTTTTCACTTTCTTGACAGGCTGTTTTCAGCTAAATTACTATGATTCCATATATATGGAATAAGTTTATTTTAACATATTTAAGGAATATGTTTAATACTGTTCCCTGCAGTGGCACTTTTTCATGACGTGACCATCTTGCTTGCCTCTCTTTGTATCTTTGAACGATCCCAAGAGCCGAGTAGGAGAATTTTTCAGAATTTTCAGTATTCAGTGACATGAGTCTTCCTGCACACGTCTGAAAATGATTTGCAAATCAACATTGGAAGCATGCAAAGACTTGACTGGGCACAAAGATGGGTGCATTCAACTAGAAATTATTTTAATATTTTAATTATGAAAACAAGTGTTCTTCAATTTTTTATAAAATTACATAGATGTAAAATGAAAGTTATGCTTAAGGATGAACTTAGAACTGCTGACTATATGCAGTGGTAATATTTCAAAGCAGTAATCCTGAGAATTTAGAGGCAGCTGTAAGCAAAGTTTCACAATGCTGGTGTAATCTCTTAAATACGAAAAAAATCCCTTGGTGCAGTCTGATGGGCAATTACAAGCTTTTAAAAACAGGAGAGGGACTTCCTAAAATGCTTCATTGAAGCAAACAGCTGTCATTAAAAAAAAAAAAAACCAACCTCCCCCTGCCAACAACAGTAAATGTAGACTTCAAGAATATTGTTTTCTAGTATCTAACTCCTCTCCTGGTTACAGCTTCAGCTAATGCAGTCGTCAAAGGCTGTAAGGAAACTTCATCTCTGTAACACCAATCTAACCTCCAGCTGGCCTGGTGGATAGGGGTGAGGCAACATGACAGTGTGTATCTGGATGTTGTCGTTTTCGTAAATAAATTAGAGAAATACGGTTGGGCTGAAACTTCTCTAAGGTGGATATACAACTGACTGAAGAACTACATTCCTACAACAGTAATCACCATTTCTTTGGCAAAGCTAAACGATCCTCAGAGTGGAGGTTTGAACTCGTGCTATGCAGTGTTTACAAGTATAATGTGCGTGATGAAAAGCAGGATAAACTTAAAACACTTAGAGGTGACATCAGTTTAGAAACTGTTTAAGTGGAAGACATTTTCCAATGTAATTTTTATTCTTATAATGGGAGAAATCAACATGGTCTAATTAATTAAAGGCAGGTGCAAAAGGCTGCACTTGTAAGGACAGATTAATTACAAATACCAGCTCGGGGATGCTTGTTTAAGCAGCTGTTCTCAATCTGGAGGTTTCTGCAGCCCTCAGAGCGAAGGTGGATCAGCAATATGGGGGTGATGTGAAAAATTCCAAATGCCATGGATGGCAGTGGGGATCTGTGTCGTGTATAGTTTGGGGAGTGTGTAGACATCACCTCTAGAATAATTAATGCTAAAAAAAAGGTCAACAAAAAGAAAACAGACTTGCAGGAGAGTTTAGCTTGGAAAAGAAAGGGTTTGAGAGTGAATATAACAGTCTTCCTGGTAATGGTCTTTAATAAGCTTTGTAATATGTGTTTATGCAAATGGTGATTAATTGTTCTCCATGTTCACTGAGGTACAGCCATACAATTTGCAGCAACATGAATTTACTTAATAAGAGATTTTTGCAGTTAAGTAAACAGCTCGGCCCTATAACAAACAGGAGTTCAAAACAGTGTTGGAAAAACATTAGTCATGGTTGTCTGAGGTAGACCTAATCCTGCTTGGGAGACAGAAGATGGACTAGAGGATACCTTGAGGTTTATTCTACTGTTATACTTCCATGTTTTACATAACGGGACACTATGCAGAGAGTTTATAGTCTCTCATCACACATGCCTAGCAAGCTCTTCAAATGACAGAGATATTTTATCCCTCCTTTTCTGGAGTGTTTCATTTTGAAGTTCATTCTCCTTCTGGAGTTGCCCGTTCACATTTTACAAACCTTGCTATGTGGACCTGGCTTCCTCACCCCATTCTCATCTTTGTCCTCAGATCTGGACGCCAGATTAAGCCTGGTAGCTGAATCCTTCCCTCATCCATCTCTATGCAGCCCAGCACTTGGAAATGGGACCGCAGGAACTTCATGAGCTACAAGGGGCTGAGAAATGTGTTAAAAGTCACTTGCTCCTAGGTCTTAAGGGCTTGGGTCAGTCTTCTCAATGCTGCGCTGTATTTTGGCTGCAATAGAAACATCTGCAAAGCAAAATGATCCTGCAACAGCTTGAGCTTTCTGCAACAGACACCAAAATGCTTCCTCTTTAGTCATAGAAATGTAAACCTGGGTATGGAAAATAAAGAAGGACGTAAGGGCCAGCCATCAGCTATTAAAGGTTATGAGAGATGGGGAGTGACTTGTTTCTGTAGAGAAGAGTTCTGTATGTGTGATGAAAAGTGCGGTAGCATTTAAATCTTGGGGACGGGCTCAGTGCAACCTGCTGTGGCTCCAGGTGTGTTTTGGACACAGGGCTGCGGGTTGATGAAGTCCATCTGAGCGAGGGTGGAGTCGGCTGTTGTATGAGGACTCGTGAAAACGGGTGGCACGAAATTTTGGAAGACGGGGTGCAGCTGCTTACCCTCCCAAGCTGGATCTTTCTGCGAAATTCCGCGGGGTGCCGCCCGCGCTGTGCACAGCCCCGCCGGGCGATGGGGCGCAGCCGGCTGAGC